CAGTAAGGAAAGGTTTCCAATACTCTACCCATCCCTCCCAATTCCATATTTTAGAAATGTACTTTCTCTTTGATGTCTGCAACATCACTGTGAAAGTGACATGATTCATGACAGTGTCACTGCTGCTCCCAAAGAGGTATGAAATTCAGTTGCTGACTTGATACATTTTATTAATCTTAATCTGCTGCTGCTTAGCAAAGCTATAAATTAGCAGGAAAGACCTAGTAGTTTTCTAGCTGAAACTCAGGAAGATGGTCCTTAATTAGTTTATACTTGTTTCAAATTTAAAAGATTACCTTTGCAACCAAGAAGGCTAGAAACATGGTTTTATTTAAAGCTTCAACCCTGCAGAAATTGATGACTTAGGGACCCCCACTAAAGACTGGTAAATGGATTTTTTTCATGCCATGCAGTAAGCAATATAAAAATACATACTGTTAGATACAGGTTTTTGCTGCTTTGCCTAAACACCCAGCTCTAGTAGTAAATTATCTATGAAACATGAGGTTATGGTATTGAACATCTGTGTTCTGCAACAAGGCCCTTGAAATAATAAAATAAATAATATTTCAAAAAACCACACAGATAAGTCAATAGTTCTTACTTGCATGTGGGACTCCATCGGGGAGGCACAAAACCTCTCTTGGGATTGACAAAGCTGTATATGAACTCAGGCAGTAGAGACTGGCTAGTAAGCAGTTCTTTTCAAGTCATCTGCCTGACTTATTTATGTTCTCTTTAATTAGCCCTCCCCCACCATTCCTGTTCTCTGCTCCTTCTAGATTCCAAGTGACATAGCTGAACAGAAGCAAGATGGAAGTGACCTTTCCATCTCTTCCCTTCCTTAACCTTCTGTTCCAGTCTTATCCCTCCCTTTTCCAAATTTCAGTGTTTCAAGTATACACTGAACAGAAAAGGATCATCAAACCTGTTGATGCCATCTGTGCTCCTGCACAGTGGTGCTTTTATCCGCAGTGACAGCACAGTGTACTGACTGGTGAACAGGCTCAACTCCTAGCAGAAGCCCAGCATGCTGAGATGTGAACAAGCCTATGTCAATCAAAATGTATGGCAACAAGATCTAAAAAGGGATGCTGGTTCTTATAAGAAAAAAAAATTGTGTGGTAAGAAAAGTCTCATAAATATTCACTTCATCTTACAAGCTGCTCCAAACAAGCTTTCACACCCACATGGGATTCTGCACTTGTACAAAAGTCTACTTGCATGAAGCAGCCTGCATGACCAATATACATGTTTTAGGGAGGCACAAGATTATCTGAGCTAGGTTTCAGCCACATCTGCAGTCGTCAAAACCAAATCATTGCAATATGCCACTGTCTGTCTTTAACACACACACACACGGGCAGGACCTTCGTTTTACCTCAGTTGGAAGGGCACCGTCAGCAGGACAACACTCCCTGACCCCAGGGAACGCTGGATCAGTCCCACCTCCCGGGGAGGCACATGTTCATACCACCGCCACTGGACCTACTCGCCCCTTGGTCCACTCCCGCCACGCTTGCCCTGTCATTCCCTCGCCCAGCTGCACTTCCTGCTCCCACGTCCGAGCATTCCAGGCGCCTTGACAAATCCGCCTCCCGCCGCCGCTCAGGGCAGGATGGCTGGGGGAC